TGACTGTATTACCGGCTCAACGTCTTGTTCCATGTCTGTATGAAGCTTCAGTGGCGTGGCATTAGTATCATTCCTAATAATGTCTGTCGTAAGTTGACCAGGCTGTCTGTAAAAATAGCGTCTGAGATTGTCCACTTCATTGTTGCACATGCGTTTGATATTTAGTAAACCTCTCCCTCCCTTATTTCGTGGTAAATACAGGCGTTCAATGGCTGAATTTGGGTGCAGACATCTAAATTTAGTTAGAAGTACGCGAGTGCGTCGATCCAATTCATCTAGGTCCGTTTGACTCCATTTTATAACTCCAAAGGAGTAAGTAAGTGCAGGGATTGCCCAAGAATTTATGGCTGTTATTAGATTTTTGCCATTCAATTTAGTATTAAGCAGTTTGGTGAATCTTTTAATATATTGCTGCTTAAACTTAAGCTTCATATCTGTATGATTTATACTCAGATGTTGCTCTATACCCAGATATTTGTATATTTCTCCTTGAGGCAGCACGTCGATATCGATGATTGGGTTACCCACCCGCTCTATTTTACCTCGGTTGGCACTTACAACCGCACACTTATCCAAGCCGAATGCCATTCCAATACTGTCACTGAATGATTTTGTACTATCAAGTAATAATGTAAGGTGTTTCCCTGATTCAGCAAATAATTTAATGTCATCAATATAAAGCATGTGACTAATTCTAACTCCACTTCGTTTATCTAACCTGTATCCTGTTTGAGTGTTATCGAGTAATGTAGAGAGAGGGTTTAGAACCAAGCAGAACCATGTAGGGCTAAGCGAATCGCCCTGGAATATACCATTGTTTATTTGGATGGTCTGTAAAGGGCAGTTTTTTAACATTAGGTTTACATTCCAATTAGACATGAGTGTTTTAGGATGTTTTGTATAATTGGATGGATTCTGTATATCTCCAGTACTTTCATCAACCAATTATGTGGTACCGAATCATATGCCTTGGAGTAATCGATATATCCCACATGCAGATTTCTTTGCTTGGCTCGAGCTTGCTCAGATATTACAGAGTCGCAGATAGTAGATCCTTACAACCTCTGGAGCCTCTAGCGCATCCTTTCTGTAGCGGAGCTATTATGTTATTCAATTGGCAGTGCTTATAAATGTGGTTGTTTATAACAGCCGATAGTAATTTGTACAGTACTGACAGGCAAGTAATGGGTCTGTAATTACGCGGATCAGCAGGATCTCCTTTTTTGAAAAGCAAGTATGTGTTCCCGATGGTAAGAAATGTAGGTATTTGTTCTGGGTTTTGAAGCACTTGTTGAAAGCATTTAGTTAATGGCTGGTGTATTGATTCAAAGGACTTGAGCCAAAAATTTTGGATATTGTCCGGTCCTGGAGCTTTCCAATTATGGATTTTCTTTAACGCTAGTTTTACATCCTCTAGGTTTATTTCTGGGTTTTCCATTTCTTGAATTTCTGAGGAGTGTTGTACAATTTGATTCGTTGATTGTTGTACAATTATTAAATTTATTATTATTATTATTATTTATTACTTTTAATATTACACATAAAATTAATAAAATTCGAATTTTATACGGATGAAGTTGCGGGAAAGACTAGTTTATAATAGTTAAATAAAATAAACTTTTGCTTTTTGAAAAAATTCTTGCATATTTCTTATAAAAAAACTCACTTTCTATAAATGTAATCTAAAAAAAATGGACCAATGCCCTCTATAAAAGATCAGCCTACGGGCAGACTTTTGTTTTCTTCATCAGCTGTACATACTTAGATATTGGGTTAGATTCTGTATTCATATTTTGTCGGTTGATTTTTGGTATTATTTGTTATTGTAGTGCAAAAAACTAATTATTTTGGTGTTTAAGTGACATAAAGTACTACCAGATATATCGTTACTATGATGGTCACTCTGTTTCTCATAAAAAAAACACGAAATATTACACGTTTTGTTAAGTGCTTTAACATAAAAGTGCCCATAAATTTTTTATTTGTCGTGATTTTTGTGTGTGTTTTTTAAGACTCTAACAATTCATCAATAAAGCTTAAGTGGAGTGTCTTTTTGGTGCTATGCCTCACCTTTGTTGTGTTCCTGGTGGAAAGGATAGTTATACTAGGCAGCTTAAAGTATCCGGAAGAGCAAAAAAAGTGGGTACGAGTTATAAATCAAGACAATTCTATTAAAAATATCTTTAATAAATTTAAAAATGATATTCTCCCAGGATGGTATTAAAGAAAACTGGACAATTATGTTTATTTTATTCATATTGTGGAATCTCCACTCCAAGTGTTGTTGGTTCAGCTTCGATAGATTCAAACACGAAAGATAAACACGTAAGTAGGTATTATGATATAGGGAAAAATAAAGAATATGTGTATTAAAGATCATGAAAAAGATTATTATTTTGAGTTCAAAATTAAAAAAGATTTTTGTAAAAACAAGAATGATAAAGTTTAAAAGAAGAATGTGTTTTTGTTTGATAGTATAATGCATATAAAGCATAACATATATTTGTTCAGTAATTTTTACTGAATAGTGTTGATTATTTATAATACCAAATTAATATTAAATATTTGAGTGATGGCTGAATACAATATGAATAAAATATCAATAGAATTGGTATATTTGCAATACAAAATTAAGTTTTTAGAATAAAGGTGTTACTAAAAATCCTAAGAAATTCATATTTCTTTGTTTGAATTGGTCGAATGTTATTTACATTTTATGTAAGAATTATACCGTATCATCGAAAAAAATCGGCGTCTAGTTGGCTTGGAAATGAACATCGATGACATTCCCTAAATAAATGTACACATAAAATAATTAACTAGAATTTTACAATCTTGGAAAATTTGATATTCTTGAACATTGTTTCTAAATATTTTAAATTTTTTGATTTTCTTGGGATTTAGGTTCGGGAAAAACGTTCACTAAGTTTTCATTTGGTTTTTCATTATTTTTATTTGGTTTAAAAAAAACGTTTTGGCTAACATTATAGCCTTCATCAGTGTTGTGTCATATGAAAAAAATAGTGTCGAATACAATCCAAAAAATTACCTATAAAATATTCACACCACGCACCACATAATGTTTACTGCGTACTCCATAGTCAATGTAGATAGTTTTAGTGTTAAGAATAATAATTCTAAAAAATATGTGGTCATCTTTTGATAAGTTTATATTAGTTTATTAATTGCAATAAACATTATGTGGCGTGAATATTTTATATGTAATTTTTTGGATTATATTCGACACTATTATTTTCATATGACACAACACTGATGATGGCTATAGTTAGCCGAAACGTTTTTTTTAAACCAAATAAAAATAATGAAAACCCAAATGAAAACTTAAATCAGCGTTTTTCCCGAACCTAAAAATCCCAAGAAAATCAAAAATTTTAGAATAATTTTACATATAATATGCCAGCGATCTTCATTTCATAGCCATCGCTGACGCTTTTTTTAGATGATATTGTATTATTTGTAAATATAATTTTTCGAACATTGATACTTGCAAAATATACATATAAATTTTGTGAATGCAAATAATAATACATCACTATTAGTGAATTGAATGTTTTTTGTTAAATTAGATCGATTTTCAAACCCAAAAATTTAAAATATATTTAAATTTTACCCAATATCTTATGTAATACATTATTTGTATATTGTGAAACATTTGCTGCATTTGTATGGTTCATAGTTTATTTGCCAAAGTATTTATTACTATAAATAGGTATATATGTTGTAGTTATTAACTGTATGTTATGTATATTTCATGTAAACTATATCATTTTTAAAATACAAACCAAAAATCTGAGGAATAATTATGTTTTCCATGTATTCTACAACATATTTATTAATCCGTAGTATCTAACTAGCGTGACGTCATAAATCTCGCCCCAAGGCTGTTTTATTAGAGACGGCGTTGAATGGACATGCAAAAATTTTAACAATTTTGTATTAAATGTTGCAAAGTAAAAATATTTGCAAAGGCATTTTTCATTTTAAATTTTATCGAAATAGAAAACCTGTTCTGTATACGCCACCCCGATTTTAATGCTAAATAAGGAATTTATGTTGAAGTTAACGCATGCCTTTAATGATATAGCAGTCGCCACATGTCAAAAATTGCGAAACAGCTTCCAAAGCGGTGCGGATTCTCGAATATCTTAGAACAAACCGCAGAATTTAATTATAAGTTGCTGGATCGTGTTCTTGTGCAATTCCCTTATTCGATATATAAATGCATGTTGGGTTTTGCGTTGCCGCATAGCTTGTATTCTTGAATTCGAAAACCCGTCCTTTTCAGACAATAAGTTAACATAAATTTCAGACAATGATGTGAATTACATGAAATGTAAAGATATTGATTGGCATTGGAATATTACAGGGTCTTAAATAAGTGCAAATATTTTTATGGTTTATTTTTACGTGTTTGATCCCAGAAACACGTCCACGAGTTTTTTTTTCGGGAACATTTTTTTTTGAAAATTTGGAATTTTTTTAGTTTATAGTTAAAAACATAATTTTTTGGAAATATGACAACATTGGTAGTAGATTAAATTTACAAGAAAGAAAACTCACAGAAGTTTCAGTGATTCTCAAAATTTAAGCAAAACATTTTCAGTTGATTCAAATAGTCAATACATGCCATTGTTGACAAAAAAAACTAACATAGTTATTAAATACTAACTAGACTAAAATAAATATGAAAATTTTTTTGCGCAAAAATTTCAATAAAAACTGTTTTATCATCAATTATTTAATTTTTTTAATTTAAATAAAGTAAAATATCTCGGTTATTTCGGACTTATTTGAAAAACAGTAAAGGAGAATATATTATATTCGCGTCCAGTCCGAATGTATTATCTTGATTTTTCTATACGTAGTACCGTCCCTGCGTGCACAATTTTAAAGCTATAAGCTAAATTCCCTCCCGCTACCAGTCTAGGTGGCCGTGCCGGCCCTGGCTCGGCGGTCGGTATTCATTCGTCTTTCGTGCACGGTGCATTGCGGATCGTAGCTCTCCGATTTCTTCGTCGTAGATCGATGAAGCCATTTTGTTTATTCTCTACTCATTTTGGATATTACTATGTAATATACGGTGTTCTACAGCTAGATAGAACACAAGGAACAATATGTAAGTATTGTATAATATTTATTTTTAGAGAAAAACGAAGTGGACGTAAATAACGGAATATTAGAAGTAGATAAAAGAAGAAAACAATAAGAATATTATATATATCGGACTGTTGTACTCTCAGTGAGACAAAGTTCGTACGTGTAAAGAATGTCCTCCTTGTGAGAGAAATTCTCATTTATATAAGGTTCTATATCTCGCAGTCAAGAGAATATTATAAATGCCAAAGTGTTGCATCTCCGAGTGAGTCAAATTTCGTACTTTTAGAGGATGGCCATATGAGAGAGATTCCTTTTATAAGTCAATATTGATATCCCACTATCGAGAGATAAATTACAGGTATCACAGGTAAGTATCTTATAATATTTATTTTCAGGTAATTAAATAATGGAGGGAAATAATTGAAGTGGAAGCAAATCTCTAAATGTAGAAATTAGAGGCAAGGAGGAGACAATGGAAGTAGACAAATGGAGAAAGCAATAAGAATATCGTATATATCGAACTGTTGTGCTCCCAGTGAGACAAAGTTTCCTATTTAGAGAATGCCCTTCTCCTCGTGAAAGGGATTCCTATTATATGAGGTTAGAAATCTGGCTATCAAATAATATTATAAATATCGAACTGTTGTTTTCCCAGTGACGCAAAGTTTCCTATTTATAGAGAATGCCCTTCTCCTCGTGAGGGGGATTCCTATTGTATGAGGTTCTAAATCTCTCTATCAAGAGAATATTATAAATACCGAAGTTGTGCCGAAGTGTTGTATCACCCAGGGAGTCAAATTTCTCATTTTTCGAGAATGGCCGTCTCCGTGTGAGGGATTCCTTTTATAAGTCATTGTTGATATCCCCTATCGAGATATTAATTACACGTATTACCGGTGAGTATCTTATAATACTTATTTTTAGGAAATTAAATAATGAATGGAAATAATTAAAGTAAAAGCAAATTTCGAAATATGGAAATTAGAGGCAAGGAGGAAACAATGGAATTAGACAAAAAGAAAAAATGAGAATAACATATATATATCGAACTGTTGTCCTCTCCGTGAGACAAAGTTTCGTACTTACAGAGAATGCCCTTCTCTTCGTGAGAGGGATTCCTATTATATGAGATTCTAGATCTCGCAATCAACAGAGTACTATAAATGCCGAAGTGTTTTATCTCCCAGCAATGAAATAAGGTATGAAACAAAATTTTGTACTTTTAGAAAATGCCTATCTCTGGAATGGATTTCTTTTTTTATGAGATTTTAGATCTCACTCTCAAGGGAATATTATTTATATATTTAGGTGCCAAATATTTGTATCTCCCAGTGAGACAAAATTTCGTACTTTTAGAGAATGCCCATCTCCGTGTGGGAGGGATTTCTTTTATACGTTATCGATAGCCTTATCGAAAAATTAATTACACGTATTACATGTAAGTCTTTTAGAATATTTATTTTTAGACGAATATTGGATGGAAATAAATAGAAGTACATCCCGAAATGTGGGGATTAGAGGAAAGGAGAAAACAAAGGGATGAGGAATATTGTATAAACACGGACTGTTCTTCTCCCAGTGTTCTTTTCATAGCGAGACAAAGGTTAGTACTTTTAGATAATCCTCTACTCCGTGTGAGAGGGATTCCTTTTTTAAGATATTCCAGAGCTCGCTATCGAGATAATATTATAATAACCGAAGTGTTGTTGTCTCAATGATACAAAATTTTTTAATTTTAGTGAATGCCCTTCTCCGTGTGAAAGGGATTCCTTTATAAATGACGTTCTCGGTCTCGTTATCGTAGAAGTAGATTTCACAAAAGAATTTCAAGTGATAAATCTAAAAATTTTAGACCCTCAAAAAAAAAACGATATATTTCAACAGGAAAACTCCCCCACACATTATATTTATAAGGCTGTACGTTCAAAAAGCAGGACAGTCGTTATTTAAGTGTCACTATCTCATAACAGATCGAACACAAGGTCAGCAACTAGGAAGAGGAAAATAACCAAATCTAGCGATTTGTGCAGTTTGTTGGGGGAAGGGCAATCCAAAGAGACTACAGAACATTCGACTCTTCGATGATGATACATTCTTCTTCGGGAGACGAATTCAGTCTTAGCCAATGATCTGGCTTCAGCACAGAACAAGGTCCAACTTTTATATCTGAGAAAATATTTTAACTCCCTAATTTACAAAGGGAGCCATGGCATGTCGCCTATCCTCCTGTGTCATAATTGTTAAGATGAAGTCCAGCATATTTTCGAAATCAAACTCTTAAAAAAAAAAATATATATATATATATATATATATATATATATATATATATATATATATATATATATATATATATATATAAATCAAACTCACTCTTAATATATATATATATATATATATATATATATATATATATATATATATATATATATATATATATATATATATATATATATATATATATATATATATATCTGGGTTATAAAATTTAACAATAGTCGTCGTAGACTCAATATTCTTTTAAAGGAAGAGAAAAATATTCATAAATATATCATGGAACAAATATGGACGGTTGTTATAGATACCGGACGCATAGTCCTAATGTGGTTGACGGTATCTTGTACAAAAGGTATCAACTATTTTTCCCTCTGAAGGATTTTCAAATGTAAATCATGAGGAAGAAGGACCTCTGGATAAATTCACGTTTGAACCTTGCTTAGAGGAAAAGATACAAACAACGGAATGTATCCAGATATTTGTGACAGATATTCGAATATGTCTTTACCTTCCTTCTTTGAAAAAGAAGGGGGGTGATACATGAGGCACGAGCGGCCAATTCATTAGGTACCCTCCAGTTTGCTGCCTTGCCAGCCTCCTACCATAAAATAGGCGACAACCAACTTAACGTTGACCTCCAAGTCATTAAAAGTAATCAACTTAGCTGACCAGCTAATAATAATAACTCAAATATGTATATAATAATAAAATAGCTAATATCCTAGATTTTCATAGCTAATATGTAATGTGTGTATGTATATATGATAAAAGAAAAAAAAAAAACGTCTCCTATTTTTCTCTATTTTGGCTAAAGAAATTTCTCTATTTTGGCTAAAGCTATTCTAATGGAAATGTAAGTTTTAGTCTAAATCTTAAGAAACACGTAACTGTGTCTCATTTCAAAAGGAGGTCCTTATGATAACGGCTGTTAAATGCTAATTTGTTTATGTAAATCTTGGATTTTCATATGTTGGAATACTCACCATCTACATTTAGAGTTTATATTTACCCATTTCGGTCTATAAAAGCAGTGTTGTGTTTTGGCCAATACTTTATACATTTTGACAAAGTGACAGACTTTGTGCAAATTATCGAAACAAAAAGTTAGTTTTTTCTTACAGCTTACAGTATATAATATATATTTTCTCCTCTACAATACACTTTCGAAAGAGATGATTATAATAACATTAATGTAAACTTTCGCAGACTTTGAATTTTTTCTTAAATATATCTGGATGGTTTCTCGTTGAAAGAGGCTTTTTTAAGATATGATGTGTCTAAGGTATACTGCATTAAAATTTTACCATAAATGTTCCCTAACAGTTCTACTTTCTTATCTAGAATTCGGAAAGAATGGACATATCAATTAAATCATAAAGTAGAAATAGGTTTCTTGCAGTTTTACGTACTATATAAATAGATTATATAATTCTTGCCGTGAACTGGCTATGAAAAATAATAAATCATATATTGGTTTCACGTTTAACCTTAGTTATCAGAGACAGATGTCAGTTTGTTTTTAGTCAGTATATAATTATATGTGCATATCATAGTTACTGAAAATTATCAACAAAAAAAAAAAAAAAAAATAAATAAATAAATAATACAAATAATAATAAAACTTCTGGTATAAAATTGACACAGATCAATATCTGTGTCTACTTTATATCAATGTCCACAATATCCATACCAATGTATGGATCGAAACCTAATATATATGATGACTCTGGTTTAATTCATCGACGTAATTAAAGCATTTTGGAAAATAAATTATTGAGAATCTTGATTTCTTACTACCAAAGTCTAACATTCAAATGTTGTCTAATATTAATGGCTTAAAAAGTAAGGCCTTTTAAATATTAAGCAATGGAACACCTTAATATATATATATATATATATATATATATATATATATATATATATATATATATATATATATATATATATATATATATATATATATATATATATATATATATATATATATATATATATATATATATATATATATATATATATATATAGGTATATATATATATCAGTTAAACCTCACTATAGTCGAGTTATCCACGCAGTTCTACATTGAGACAGGGATTTCTATCGACACGATGAGTTAACTGGTTTATAAAGTATAATTGAACAATTTTGGCAGAATCCTTTATGGAAGTGTCATCTTATGGGTTTCTGTCTCTGCTTAGTATGCATATATGTATATGTTAAATTGTCACAATTTAATAAATCCATGTATTGATGGCCGTTAAATTGGTTTCATTTTGGTTGCATTCAATAAACATATTTATAATTTCAGCTATTTTTGTCTCAAAAAAAATGCTTTCTGCACCGCATTCATTAATTTGCAACCATCAGTTCTTTAAACATCTACGTATAGAAAAATCAAGATAATACATTCGGACTGGACGCGAATATAATTATACGATCAAACGAACTTACCTGAAGTGAAGTTCGATCGTAATTATATGAGGCGTCCAGTCAAAATCTCTTCCCTCCCGTTTTGCCCCATGGTCGCTTGAATTAATGAATAAATCTTTGAAAAATGAATACCGACCGCCGCGCCAGGGCCGGCACGGCCACCTAGACTGGTAGCGGGAGGGAATTTAGCTTATAGCTTTAAAATTGTGCACGCAGGGACGGTACTACGTATAGAAAAATCAAGATAATACATTCGGACTGGACGCCTCATATAATTACGATCGAACTTCACTTCAGGTAAGTTCGTTTGATCGTATAATTATGTTTATTTTATCAAGATCTACCAGCTCTGAAAGTATATGCACTTATTTAAGACTCTGTATTATGTTACCCGCAAAGTATAAAATTTAATGTAGTCTGTATAAAATTTAGGTAGGAATTCTCTAAAATGCCTAACGATTTCAGGCAATTTATGAAATTTTAATATTTTTATATACTTTTCCTACACATTTTATGAAATAATTGGGCATTCCATAGAATACTTTATAATAGGAAAGGTATGACATAAAAATACATAAAAGTATTAAATTTTACCTTGAATTACAGAAACTTTTAACTTATCCAAGGTAACAGGACCGTAACAAATATAACACAAGTATTATCAAAATACAATATTTAGTTTTGACTTGCTATGTATATGTCACGCTCGATAGTCGAATTCGGGCAATGCCCGAAAAAACTACGCAAATCTAGTTTTTAGCAAGGAATATTTCCCAAACCCGAAAAACCAACTAGCCAATGAATTAACACCCTCCAAATCACGCTAACCAACTCGTCAAATAACTAAACCAATCCAACCAAAAAGAGTGAAACCAATGCAATCAAATCACACTATAAGCAAAAAAAAATAATCGAATAAAATTAACTTTTCGGGTTTGGGAAATATTCCTTGCTCAAAACTAGATTTGCGTATTTTTCTCGGGCCTTGCCCGAATTCGACTATTGAGCGTAATATATATTATCAAACAAGAATGCAAATTTTAGTAGACTCAATTTTGAAGAGAGAATACACATACCGACAATACTTCCATTTAAAACAAATTAAACTTCTTGGAATTTTGAGAGAGCTTTTTTAAATAAGTAATAAATTTAATATAAAAACGGTTATATTTCAAAAACCACTGGTATAACCACTAGTATATGACATTATGGTATCTTTGGAACGGAAATTTAACGGTAAATTTACTGAGCTTAAAAATATATAGTATTCCACTCGGTATTGCATTTAAATATGTACAACTTTAGTTTGAAAATTTACTTGAATCACCCTGTATATGTCCACAAAAGTATTTTAAAAATGTGCGCTATCATTGCCCCCATATTAGGTAAAAAAACGATATGAAAATCACATACCAAAAGGTTTCCATCTTTTTCCAAGGCTACACCAAAAAATTTCCAATTTCTAATATACAGGGTGGTCCGAACTGTATTTTGGAAATTATTCTGCAAATGCTATTCGGCAACATATTTTGTAGATAAAAATAAGTAAAAAAGTTCGTATAAATCATAGATTTAGTAAGAACAAATATCACATTAGACATTTTAACCTGATCAAACAATCGGAGGTTGACTACGTACTGTAAAAACCAACTGAGATAGAGAAGGCGACATTGCCATATCCCAAATTTGCGCCTATCTACTCAGTTTGATTTGCAGAAAAGGTGACTTTAAAACCTTTACCGGATATCAATAAATCTCAATTTCTTAATTAAATTAATAGTTTATTTTTAAAGAAGCATGCGTATATACTTGCATATGTTATTAACCAGAGGATATATGCGTTACTATTAAAGGACATGTTTACTGTTTAATGTGCTGAAACATCTAGAACTATTGGCAACGTCGCTGCTAGTCTTCCAGAATGAAATGAGCCGTCCGTCCCACCACCCCTCGCGACGGCCGTTGGTCCGTTATAGCGTACTACGTTTAGCTTGCGGTGTTTTTGAAGTCGGAATCAAGACGAAAGTGAACTTTCAGTGTTTTTCGGTGGTTTTTGTTTTTGTTTGACGTACTTTTGAATCTGCGAATTCAGTATGGTACGACAGTGTCAAGTGTGTGGAAAAATAAGCTCAAATTACCCGAATTTGTCTTTTCACAGGTGAAT